GCTAAAAGAAAACCCGATAATTTAAATATGACTTATATTTAAATTTTCAGGTTTTCTTTTAGCGACACTCAAATAAAGTATTTTAGTCGTGTAATTTAATGTGCTTTAAATGAGTGTCACCAGGGAAAACCCTACAACTCGGTTTTCTCTTGGCGGTACTCAAATACATTAATAATATTTTTGTATTCATCAATTAAATTGACATTATGTCATAGTTCTAACTAGAGTCATGTGTATTAGTGCTTGCTATGTTAAACTATCTAAACAAAAAAGTAAAAGCTGGCATTGGCGCAGTGTTATGACATAGTAATCTTCCAGATACTAAACATAGTAAAGTGACTGTTGGCGACTGTTTATAATATAGCATAAAGCTGCTTCCTTTTTCCACCAATGAATAAACTGTAGGTAGTGATCAACGTAATGACAGATAAGTGCATAAAATTTCTTCACATGGTTTTTTGAAAATAACGACAAAGAAAATCAGAGATTCGAATAAAAGCTAAATATGTATGGGCCTTGGGAGTTCTTTAGATTCTTACGGGAACAGTACGAAAATTTCTTGTAAGGATTAGTACCGCGGATCCAGTGTTCTTGTTAATCGATTCTCTCTAAGAGCTTGAATAAATTGAACACTTTAATAAACTGTTTAAACAGTGCTTTAAAATTTTAATTTGATTACCGTTACTAAATTCGGGTTACTATTTTCATGATATCTTAATAAGCACCAAGGGCTTGGTATAGATCGCATTTAAATACTGTAATATATACTGTATAAACAATTAAATGTATGCAGACCACATACAATTAAAGTTCAATGCCCTAAAAAAACCTTGCTGATCGTAATTCCAACCTCACTTCTAAATTATGATACAAATAAAAAACATGTTTATGAGTCGCAACGGGATGCGAAACTTTAATAACACGTGATTAAAAGAACTGTATAATTGTTATTCTAGTCATTTTGATTAAAACTCGTGTTCCATTATCGTTATGTAAAGAATTCCCGGTTTTCTTACTTGGAAGCATTCAAAGGCATTGAGCACGTGCACACGTAATATCGATATTACGTAAAAAAAAACAATTCTTATTCGACGTTGTAAATTAATATATAATAAAAATGATATACTTGTAAATTGAATAAAGTTTTTAAGTTCTTATTTTTAATGATAGATCACGATAAAATCGATAAAGCAACGATTTATTTATAGTGTCCTACCGCTACAGGTTTTAAACTATAAGTGAGGTCAATTCTTTGTGGTTTATAATCTTTACGGGTCAGAATACAAACAAATTAGATACTAACTTTATCAATTTCGAAGACATTGTATGTTTATGCGTTATATAATAAAAGATTTCAAGTGGTTTTCGAATAAGATTTCCAAGAAATACACAGTCATCAATAAATATATAAATGTGTTGTATATGACTCGCGGTAATGGGATGTGCTCAAAGAATAGCAGTTAATCAAAATTTAATTTTTTTTTTTTTTTTTTACAAATTTGTGCTTACGTTAACATTAGCTTACCTGAATATACAAATAATGAATAGTTCCTAAATTTATTATCACCTGAATAATGTCATGTTTAATGAATTTAATGAAAAATGATTCACAAAACGGAGGGTTGATAATCATGGAAAATGCATATTAATTAGAAAGGGAAAAAAAATTATATATGAAAAAAAGGGAAAAAGAAAACTAACAATATACTTCAATATACTTCAATATACTTCAATATACTTCAAGATTGCCTTTTTAACCTATGTCACATTTGATACATCAAGCTTTGGTTTCTTTGATGGTGGTTGATTTTCGGTTAACAATGCTTGAAAATTAAACAATGCAATTTTCCAATCATCACTTTGAATTAAGCCTTGTAATGCTCTTTTGCCATGTTCAAAGTGATTTCGCCCTTTTTTAACATTATTTGAATTTTTGGAATTTAAAGCGACATTATCTAAAGATTTTGATGTTTCCGAAATTGACTGAAGTGAATTTAATATTGAACGACATGTATTCTGCATATCTTGTTTGGGATTTGAAGATGTCACATTTGTCGATGTTTCTTTCAAATTAGGTAATATGGTAGGAATGTTTTGTGTAGCTTTTAATTTATCATCAGTTTTCAATGAGATCTCAATAACCTCTTCACTGCTATCATCTTCTGTCTCATCGGAAATCATCCAAATATCGTCATCTATTAATTTGTGTTATTAAATATTAAAAAAAAAATTCATTAAAATTTAAAAAAAATTTCATTAAAATTTTATTAATCATACCAGCATCCAATTCTGCTACTTCGCGTGATGGTAATGTGACCAAAGGAATATCTTCCATCTGAACACTATTCATATATAATACCGATGCGCGAATATGTTTGCATGCGCATCCTTTAGAAAGGAAATCAATGCATTGGCATGATATCTCTGCAATTGGATATATACATGCCACATAAGTGATATCGCTTTTTTTATCCGATCTTACCCATACATTAAGTTTATCCGTGTATTCGTATTTCACAATTCCCCGAAATGATGCTGCGATTTTTTTGGCCTCATCGTCTCGTTCTTTATCAGGCTCCGTATATACAGAATATTTATAATTTGCTTTTAAAAGTTCCACGTAACGTTGATCTATATAATTCGTTTGTTGTATTTTTAGGTTCTCTTCCAATGATTTTTGGAATTTCCGTCTTTTCATGAAATTAGGTGTAACACATTCAACCAAGTACATGACCAATACATCAACTCGTAATTGTGTACCTCGCCTTTGAAGCTGACGTAGAGATTCTTTATTGAGATGATTATCAAGTGATTCAATACAATTATTGGTTGTCGGGATAGACGACACATCAATGTTCAAAACTTTTGCTGCATTTATTCTCCCAACTTGTGACCAACAAAGTATCGTGTATCCACACCAATTGTTTAGTAAATATTGAAAAAATTTAATTCCTCCCTCTAAAATGCTAAGGATCTGACATGATGAATTAGTCTTATATGCTCCATCAAATGGACTCTAAAAATTAAATCAAATTAAATAATAAATATATAAATAAATAAATAAAAAAATTATCAAAAAAAAAATAAATAAACAAATTACCTTCACACCTTTATGTGCATTTAGAACAGTTACTTTAATATGATTAGTATCATTCATAGTGTTTATTTGATGAATCACGCTTCTCATATAAGATTTCATTTCTTTTCTATAAGTAACGATTTGCTGAGGACCATTGGCACCGAGAGATTGCTTTAATACCTTATTCCACTCTTTATTTACATGAAAGAAATTATAAATCACTGCAGCACCTGACCAAACTTGATGCACTGCTTGCTGTTCTCGATAATTTGTGTCCGTCATAACTATCTAAAATATCAGGAAATTGAAATTTTTTAAAATAAAAATTTAATTTCTCTTTAACGCATTTAATTAATAATAATAATAATAACTTAAATACCTTTGGGAAAAATTTCGCTGAATTTTTTTCACCCAATACATCAACAAACTTCTGTAATAATGCGCTCAATACTGGATAATCATAACCACCATCGGAAGATGATTTTGTTGAATTGGGTA